TTTGAACTTCTGTCTGCCACCAACTGACAACAAAATTATCACTAGCTCCTAGTTATCAAATGTTGCCAAGCAAGCCAAGCTACAATGACCTAAGGTTGGCCAGTTCCATACTTGAGTTCATTATTAGACCCTATGCCTACAAAAAGTATCTAAAATGCAAACGTTTTGTAGCAATTACTTTCACAAGATCCTAAACTTGGGATACAACTCTAGAGTACACAACTTTTGCCAGGTTTTCTAACCCAAAAGGCTTGACTGAGGAGAAATAGAAGAGACTCTTCACTGCATTATCAGAAAACCTACTGCTTTGCACAGTTTTAGGAATATCACTACACTCCTATTTCTAAACTTATAAAACCCAAGTCATAAATTAAACTCAGTACATCATAAAACTCTTTACTTACAAAGAACTAATTCAATGTTATCATAAAATGTAAAATATAATCTGATTTTCAATGAAATTAAAAATGAAGGATATTAAACATAAAATAACTTGTGAAATCTCTTTTAATGAAAAAGAATTTGATTTCCAAAGTAGCTATCTACTTTTATTCTTATTTGAAAAATTATGCCAGAGGATATATAAATGCTATTTTATTGTACACACCTATATTCACTTAGAATTAAACTAATTATTATTTAAACCATTAACCTTTAATTCTTCATGTAAAAATTCCTAAGTAGCAATGAGAAGACTTGAGGAAAAAATATTTTCCCAGGGCTTTCACAACTCTAAATATGCCAATCGTGATCATCCTCTGGGCAAACGTGCTAAGACATGATAAAGTGTTCCTAAACTAAGTAACCAAAATATATAAATGTCCTGCATAGATCTTTTTTTAACCTCAAAATTCCTCTTTCTGAGCCTATCCCAAACGTAAAAATTTTCTAGGAAGTTCACACAGCTTTTCAACACAGTGTGTGGCTTTAAAATTCAAAAATTGTCTATTCAATCTATCTTTTGCCTAGCTGAAATGAAATACCAATGGGTTAAATCAAATTTCAAAGTGAAATCAAAGGACAAGCCATTTCTCAAACTCTCAGGGGACCTCAGAACTCAGTGTCATATCTCACCTACCAAATGCATGACCCCTCCTCCTCTATCTACCTAAACATTCCCACTGCAAGAGGTCAGGGTAGAGGTGGAGAGAAAACTCACCATCTCACAGGCAATTCGTTACTTTTTCAGTTGTTAGAAGAGGTTTTCCATATGCTGAATTGAGACTGCCTGGAACCCTGCAGCTTGTGATCTTTCTTCTACAGCTATGTTCTTCCATACTACAGCCTTGAAAACCATGTTTGCCAGAAAGGAATAAAACTCTTACGATGCTGACCGATGACAAGACTTTTCAATACCTTTTTATTCTGGAGACACTTCTACCTAATGATCTACAACTGGTCTAAGCAACCACCTTTTCAAATGGCTTTAGTCATCACCTTTAAAGTCTGGTTTCACAACATCCATTACTCTACCGCATCAACTTTCAGAATTAACCACATTTATCTACTTTTCATGCTAAATTAAAAATAGGGGGAATACAGAAAGACAACTTCACATACACACGTTTTAATAAAACTCAAGCTAAATGGTACCTGCAAATAAATTTCTTCTTGGGAGGGCTGGTATCTACATTCGTTAGTAGACAAACTTGAAAGCGCAACACAAGCAGCGATTCATTATAATGGACTTCCAATTGCAAACTGAGAAAAAGAACTGAAATTTCTAAGTGACTAACACACAATTGTATATAGTTCAATAAAGATTCATTCTATATACTACACCCTAAAATCTTCCAATGGGGACTCCCACAAGAGTCTGTGCTACAATGCAATGGGTCTTCAACACAAGAAATGCTGTGAGAGCCTCAACACAGTACCTGCATCTAAAATTTTAAATCTCTTCTATGCTCAGTTTTCACCCTAAAGAGAGGAGGAATGCTCTTCAGGCCTAGAGAGTACCACAAAAAAGAAACAGGAAAACCTCTCTGGGAATCCAAGAAAAGACTGCAACTTCCACATCTTTTACAAGAGTTGTCTAACATAGAATATTTCCTCAATTCCAAGATACATAAATGATCTGAGGAAGGTGGGAAAGGAAAATAAGTCATCAAGGGGTACACCATAAGAGGTATACATTTCAGAATCTAAAAATATAAAAGATATGCATCTTAACGTTGAGGAGTTACATAGAATAGGCTACCTGCAAGCGGAACTGCAAACCACTGCATATTAGAAGGAAGGCTTCCCCAAAGCCTGTCAGAGATATACAAGCTCATGGTGGCATTTTTCATTCTTTTCCCCCAAAGTATGGATCTTATTTTAGGATCCAATTTCCCCAAATGGAAAGCAAGCAAAACTGTTCAAAACCAGTAAGTCTTTGTGTTTGTTACCCATTGACAACCTACTCAAAAACAGGTTTTATGAACAATACAAAAAGAGAAATTTTTTGTTGTTTAATCTTACTTTATTTAGGTCAAGGATCTCTTCAACACAACTTCATCATTGTTACAATGTCCTTATCTGTAGCCATGGAAGCCTCCGCCTCCAGGGAGGAGTTCACCTTGATTATTTGCAAAGGGCCCCTGCCCAACCTCGCCAGGATTTCAAGGAAGGTTAATTGAGTTATTATTTTAAATAAATTGTACTATGTGGCTTATCTGAACTGGAGTAAAAAATGTATGATCCACACCAAAGACTGTGAATCCTGGTTGTTACAGGATACAAAAAAAAAAAAGGAACACAGAGGAAATACATTTAACTAACATACTTGAAGCTCCGTTAACAAATGTACAGTACTTGGCAGCTATGCTAAAGACAAAGAAGAGTTCTGAATTTTCATTCCAAAGGTTTATGGAATGAACAAATACTATGTCTATACGTTGACTCAAATACATTGACTGTTTAATGATACTTGTTTTCTCCCTAAAACAAGGTGAAACAAAAGAAATTTCAGTATCTCCATTTCCCAGGTTCTGATAGCTCCTAAAACGCTTAACTTAAAGGGAGGACTTAAACTGCCACATAATTTTAAATGTTTCCTTTTTAATACTGTGCTTTTTTTTCTTCATTGTTCCCATTCTCTTTAAGCAGTGTATTTCACTATAGAGGGAAGAGGACCTAGAAAGGGGCAATACTCAGGAAGCTAAACAATGCAATCTTACCCTCCCCTAAATTCAGGGAGAACAAGCTTGTGGACACAATGGCATATGCCTGACCAGACTCTCCAGACCTGATCGAGAGACACTGGTGTCTTTTCCACTTTACAGTGTGCAAAGAACGGAACGATTTTCTAATGCTCTGTGATTGGCAGCGTTTCAACAGCGCTTGGACCAAGACCCCAGGCTTAACTTCCTAACAGCTCCTTTTCGAAACTGACCCAAAACATGGAATGTGCCCAAGCCTCTGGCGCTGTAGGAAGCTATCTTCCCAAAGTTCCAACATCGAATTATCATTTTTATTATTATACCTGGAAGGGAAGGGGGGGAGGAAAAAAAGCACACACCACACTCTACGTTACCGAATTCACGGAAGAATGGGGATTTCGGCGACGGCTTGAGGAGTACCTGACCCAGAACAGAGAACGAAGAGCTGCCTCCGGGCCGCGGGTCCCTGTCCTCGGCCACAGCGTTACCTGGAGTGAACGGACTGCAGGATCGCTTAACATCCCTCCAAACCTGAAATCCTCTACCTCAAGAGCAATCAAAAGCAGAGGGAGCCAAATTTCTTCCGGAAGGCGCAAAAAAGGCCACAACTTGGATGAATGAAACTGGGCTAAGGGCACCCGGAGCAGGATTGTCGCTGAAGTCAGAAAACGAGAAGTCAAAGATTTTTTTTTTGACGTGAGAGCCGGTTCTACGCGACCGTGGTCCAGACAATCGCACAAACACGCTTTGGAGAAGGTTTTATTGAGCGCGGACGGTTCCGGGGCGGCCGGCGGAGGCGAGGCGGAGGCGGGTGGGCGGCGGAGCTGGGCCGGAGCGGGCGGCAGCGGCGGGGGAGGCG